ACACACACACACACACACACACACACACACACACACACACACACACGATTTCGATTCTATTGTCCAGGCAAGACATCAAAACCATGAATCCTAATACTAGCTTTATCGTAAGATTACAATAACAGAATCTACATTCTCCCGTCAGTTGCGTTTACTTTCCAGAGAACCCAGGAGAGTCCCTTCTGAAATATTTCTTCCACCCTCATTTCTTTTTGGCTGAGATAACTCTTCTTTATCTGTCTTTTTCCTCCTCCTGTTTCCTAAGGTCATTCTGACATCCATTACCCCAACTGAAGCAGATTTAAAGATTCTGTTGGAAGTCAACACAGCATCACATATGAATGATAACTCTAACAATGTGCAATACTGACCTAAGTTGAAAAGCCTGTCGAATTAGAAACAAGTTAATTTATATAAGTTTGGGCTAGACATTTTAGGTATAAGTACTTGTTCTTTGTAGGCAAAAACATGCTTTGAATGTCAATAAATGGATGTTGGTCTTACTTATTATTTCCAAACAGATTCACTACAAAGAATCCTGGAATAAAATGCAGCATGGTGGTTATAAATTAAAACTGGATGCCATTCCTTTCCAGACAGCAAAGGCTTCTAATGAAATTATAAGTGATGTAAGTTGATTTAGTAACAATGGCAAAGAAATAATTCTAAGGGCATTTTGTTTAGATACTGGAAAAGAGCAATAGAAGAAACCTTTGGAATATGAATAATTTCAAATTATTTCTACAATTTTTGTGTGTGAATTAAATAACACTCTTGCTAAGTAGAATTTGGTAAATGGATCCTAATGTATCTTTAAACATTGTATTTGATAACTGTATTATATAATTTATATTGGCAAACTGGAAGGGAGAAGGGAAGATTTTTTGAATCATCACTATTTTTAAAAAAGGGTTTATTTAATGTTAAAAGTCGTCTTAGAGTTTGAATGTCAAAGTTAGTGTTTATGAACAAAGAGGAATATTGTCCCCTACTTCCAATAAAATTCTTAAGTGCAATTGAGAAAAAGAATCAAATAATATATAAAATTGCCTCTTATTTTGTCTGTATTGTAAACAATCAGATAGACTTGAAATTGCTACTGAAACATAATGCCTTTTATTTATTTTATTTATTTATGGAATTTAATTCAGTAGCAATGGCTCAGAAACAAAGATAGCCCCAATTAATTAACACAGGACCTTGAATTTATTATCTAGATGTATACTTACCTATTAAACTTTCAGTTGCAGTTTCCAAAAGTACAATAGCTGTTACATTATTATTACAAAGCTTTTTATTTTAGAACTAGGTAAGTTGGATAATAGATTGAATATATTCTAGATTTATGTTAAATGTTCATCTACTGTTCCTCTTATTGTTTAAAAATGGTTTACTGCTTTTTTATTATTATTTAGAATAATTCTTAAATATTTTATCCAAGTATATCAAGACTTTAACTCAGAAATGTTAATTTCATCTCCAGTAATATTGCAACTCAGCTTACGCCATTATATAGACTTCAATACATAAAACCAATGAGCAGGTGTGATGATCTATTGCAATGGGATAACATGCATCTATATTTTAAAAGGGTCATCTGAATAAATATGTTTTTAGTACCACTTCTCCCACAACAATTAGAAAACAGCTGTTGTTTAAAGCACATGTTAATAAATGTAATTTGAATTTCTAAACCCATATTCCCTTTCTTGCAGAGTAGATTACGCTTCCCCTGAATATAGCTTTATGTAAAGTCTTCACTATCAGAGAAGACAACAAAAAGCAATGGAATAATATAAATATTTATTTCACTTTTCATGTTTTTGCTGTATAAATGTTTTCTTTTTCCTCCTCAGTATAAGTACAAAGAGGCATTTGAGAAAATGAAGGGGCAATTGATTGGTTCCCACGGCTTGGAAGATATAAACATTTCACACTTCATGCATGCAGCTTTGCTTCAAAGTGATGTAAGTGGTATACTAAATAAACTTGTATCACCATATTTTTAATGAGCAAACATTTAATTGGTTAAGAGCAGCATATTCAAAATAATGTAAGTGGGTGAGACTTTTACCTCTGTTGGCATAAGAATATAAGATCCTTGACAGAATTATGTAGTCTAGTCTTGTCTAATTATCTATCTAATTCAGCATCCTGCTTATTACATCAACCAAGCAGATCCCTGTCAAAACAAAAGAAAAAACAAAATGCATGCATAAGACATAAATATCATAACTGCTTTTGTCATCGTTCTTCAGTATCTGGAGTCAGGGACATGATGTCTCCAGAATATCCATCTAGCTATCATTGTTTAGCCTTGTCTTCCCTAAATAAGTTTTTAAGCTATCTGAGTTATTGTGCATCATAACAGGGGCTCCCAACCCCCTGGTCCATGGATTAGCACTGGTCCACGACATGCCAGAAATCAGGTCGTGCAAACAAGCTAAGCCTCATCCATGGCATGGAGGCAGAACACAAAATCACACACCCTCTGGACCATGGAAAAACCTCTCTTCACAGAACCGGTCTCTGGTGCCCAAAAGGTTGGAGGCTGCTGATTCATAAGATTTTGTTTCTGTGAGGATACAATGAAAGGAGACGTGGCATGTGAGATGCCTTAAGCTTTTGGAACACAAATCCAACAAAATGAACAAAAAAAATAACAAAATGAACAAAAATAGCTAACTTAATATTGCACCAATATTAAGAATGGAAGGGAAGATACATTCAGTAGCAATATCAAAAGAAGATGTAAGGAGAAAAATGAAGAGAACAAAAGATTATAGTGCTTTTAATTTTCTAGAATGATGATGATGATGATTGATGATATTCATTAAATCATGTTATATTATTGGTGATTCTGTGGACCAGCTTTCTATATTTTCTGATTTTGCACTGCTTCTTTCAGTTGTTTTATGCTTTGGCTAGTGTTGGTTTTGCTCACAAATATAATACAAGCATTTTTGTTGAAGAACAAGAAACTAGAAAGACTTCTAAGGCAATGCTTAGGAACAGGATTCAGCAGTGTGCACATAATGCATGCCAAGCTTGTTGAGGACCAAATAACAACAGTACATTCCAGTGACCAGTTGTTTCCTGTGATTATATTATAATTTTCTGCCTGTTTCCTAGTTAATGATTATAATAATAATAAGTGTAAAGTAAATAATTTCAAAATAATTTGTCAGATGACTTTCTATTAATGTCTTTTAAGTCATGACTGAAAAATAGCATTTGTTTTTACTTCCTTCTTAGATAAATTACAGGAAAGATTTTGATAATCAGAAGAATAAATTCCACCTACCATTAGACATGCTGAATTTAGAACATGCCAGAAAAGCCCAGTCTTTGGTTAGTGATCAGGATTATAGGCAACTACTTCATGATTATACATCGCTGTCGGAAGATATGAGGCTGCAGTGTGCTAAAAAAGCTTACAAACTACAGAGTGAGGTAAATTATGGTTTAATTTATATACCATGTTTAAATGGGGGTTGAACAGTTTCTGTTAGACAGACAGTGAGATCTATCTGCGAAGAAATAATGAAAAATCACATTAGAAAATAATTAGGCAACATCAATCAAAGTGGGGCTATGCCAAAAGTGGGCTGAGCCATTTAAGGTGTAGTTTTATAATAATAAATTACAAGTTTATAATCATTTATTTTCCTCCCTTAATCAGTATAAATCACGGGTCCCCAAACTCTGAGCCAACTCAAATTCTGAGTTGTTTAAAATCGGAAACAGTGGACAAGCACACATGCATCCCCACTTGTGTGAGCACTGGCCAAATGTGTGCATGCATGCTCCAGGTGCGTATGCATGTTGCTACTGCAAGCGGAACTGTGCCCATAGATGAGCTTGCCACCTGCTTGCACAGAACCATCCCCTCTCCCCCCGGCCAGTCTGCAAAGCCGGAAAGGGTGGGGAATCTAGTATAAATATACCTCCCCATTCTACTCCTATGAAAATTTAAACCTAAGTTTTAAGAATATATTTTCTAATATATTTATGTACTATATATTCTGGGTTTATATGCTTCTCAAATCCAATAGGTCTCTTGAATAGCTTACATGCAGTTCCTAAGATGACACATCACTTTCTGGAGCTCCACAGTAGTCCAAGGAACTCTCCTTACTTGGTGGACAGAGAAATGCTGCTTGGATGCAATTTCCTCACAAGGCCACTGTCATCCTGACATTGCAGCTAACAATTAAATCTCAGTGGAATTGCTTAGGAATCTCCCCTAGTACCCTCTGGAAATGAGTTGGATTACACAAATTTCAGCAATAGTCCATTCCCCTTGTTGATGTCATTGATGCTGTGCAATAGAAATCAGAGCTATTTTACTACACCTGAAGACATATATTAATCAGACTGTGTTGTGGGTAAAACGTGCTACCTCCCATGTTAGTTTGGTCTATAACAATAATTGTCATGAACTTCTGGGATTCCTGAAGCCCAACCAGAAAAGACACCACTGAAATTCCCTAACACCATGAGCTAGAGAATGCTACACTATCCTGACAATTACATCTAGCAGCCCAAGAAACGATCCTTCCCATCACCAGAAGAAATGGTGCAGCAACAGCAGGACTCACTTGGCCTAACCCTGTGACCCAATGCCTCCAGTCTCTTGTAGAATATTATGGATGCCAATAGCTACTCTATTTCCCTGGCCCTGAGATGATGGTTTCTGCCAAACTGAAATTTTAAAGCAAACAACTAGCTTTTGTTGGACTAAGCCAGATCCATCATCTCATTCTCATCAAACTGTGAACAAGAAGAGATTGTTTGTTACAGATAGACTTGGCATTAAGAAACAGTAGCCAAAAGGGCTCCCTAAAACCTGGCTATAAAGGCTTTCAGGTTGAAATAAAATATCCATAGATGTAGTCTGCTCTCAAATACTCTTTTGCCTAACTTTTTCTGACTCAGCAGTACCTAAATTTTTGTATCTAGAGTTTTCATTAAAAATGTGTAAACTATTAAAATGTGTAAACTATGTGTGTTTACTATGTTCATACACATGTAAATACATGTATGTAATGCCCAGTGTTATAACCATGACATTAAAAAAGTCATCATTTAACGTTTGTGAAGTGAATGTAAGTATGATCATTTCATCCATCTAAGGTTTTTAATTGCTATGAATGTTTTTAGAGGAAATATCAAAAATAATTTACAATTATTATACATAATCGACCTCAGAATTAGGTATTGTTTTCTGCCAATATAGATAGATAGATAGATAGATAGATAGATAGATAGATAGATAGATA